CAATCAACATAAAACAAAAGTCAAACAAGACACTTGGTTGAAAAGCATTTGTGAGTTGTGAGTGATGTCTTTATTCATCTTTCCTCCAAGAAGCAAAAACAAGTGTGGTCCACACAGAAGCATTTATTAGGACTTTGTAAATCGGCAGTAATTCATTAGTGAGAGCAACATTGGAGTTGCCAAACTGTCAAAACTAACTTTGGTTGATATACACTGGCTTCATCACAACATTCTCTTTTAATCCATCAAATTCTTTCAATAAACTGCTTTGATGAATAACCTACATCAGTGTAACATCTCAATAAGGCTTCTAGCTGCACACCAGATTGGGTCATGTTGTGAATTATGTGATGCATGTCAGAAAATGTTGTTTTTATAGGTCTGCAGTTAAATGTTAATAAGTTAAGTGACTGTGGTTCACTGGCTATGAGAGAAAATCTTGATGAACTAAAGCAAAAGCTAAAAACAACAAAACAATCCATGGCAGCTAAGTGGGAATAAAATATAGCATTTAAAAGTAGCTGTCACATGTAAGTCGTTGCTGGAACTGGTAAATGATGAATGAAAATGTTCAATAAAGCTTTCACTTACAACTTATTAAGCATTATGCTTCCATTCAGGGATATTCACCACTATGCATTGTTGGTGTTTTCCTTAGGTCTGGCAAAGTTGTTGGTACACGTCCCTCTTCAAACATCTGAAAATTAGCTATTTTTTTAAAAGTCCTGCATTGTTTACTTCCATACGAATTAGCTTAGTGCCACCATCAGTAGAATATGAGCCTAGATGCAGGAATGTCCTCGTAAATATGCACGATATAAACAAAACAGGAATCGGCTCATAAAAAACACATTGCCACATAGTCCTGCTATAAAGGTCACAAATTCCACACGGTACCACAGAAAAAAACCCCACACACACACACAAAACCCAAAAAAACTTTTGCGTCAAAGTATTTCACAAAATTGAAAGCTGTCATATAAAGAGACTTAACAAATACCTGATCCCCACACGAGCACTGACGTGCACTCTTTAACTGTGCTGAATGCACAGGCCCCCCACAAACCTTACACCTCATGTTACCAGTTAATATATGTCAGGCCCCACTCTAAACACCGAGAAAATCCACAAATCAAGCTTCAATCTGGCCTGGAATGGAATGTGTCACGTTGAGACCGTTCACCTGGACAGATTTTTCCTGTGTTACGCCTGCCAATCACACACACACACACACACACACACACACACACACACACACAGTATGACGCTCGCAAACCGAGACAGAAGGAGAGAGAAAAACAACAAGGTAGTGAGAACAGACAAGTGTGTGATCGTGTTTATGGATTTGGAAAAGGCTGTGGCATTTCCTGATAATCCAGGCCAAGTGTGTGTTTGGTGTTCCGTCCAGCCCTCCGCTTGCCGAACGTCATCCTTCTCTCTCACCATTTTACAAATATATTATAAGGTTCCCTTTGGCTGTTGCCAGACTGGGCGGAGGGGGTTTGTAAGAACAGGTGCCAAAAAATGTTTAAACAATGACAGGGAAATACCTAAAGCCTATTTGAGATTCTTCTCAGTGATTAACAACTTATTTGACACAGTCTGTGTTTTTCTTCTTGCTGCATACAAAACCCATTTGAACCTTCAAGACGGTTAGCAAAAACACAACCATTTATCTGCAAATGATTGTTTGATCCAAGCATAAGGGGGGAAAAAAAAGACTGTCTTATACAGGAAAACACTCTATAAATGTACTGAAGCACTCAGCCAGGCAGTAATCACTGACAGGACTGTTGGACTTTTTCTTTTTTTTGCAGAACGTCATTGCTCCACTACAAAACCTAAGTGACCCCGATGCCTCTGCCCTCCCTTGTTTTACGGTGACGGAAAAACAGTGACCTCTCTGTCACTACTTACAGGAAGTGTACTCTTTTTCATAGCGAGGAGAAAAAAAAAAAAGAAGCAACAAATGGTGCCAATTAAAAATGTTAATGTAAACCACATTATAGTCACCAGATTCAGGGAAGTTTATTCAGACGCGGGTTGATTGCCCGGAGAGCATCGTGACCCAGAGGCTGCTGAAAGTACTGAAGCTAAACTTAGGAGTGTCATTAAGTTGCTCTACGGTTCCAAAAATAGCATTTGCCGGTAACAGTCTACGCAAATGGACGTTATATTGCGATCACAATAATGTTAATGAACTTTAGAGGGGCCTACTAATGACATGCTGATCCTTGCAGATCCAGTCATGGGTCATGGTGTTGATGGTGCAGCATCAGTCTCATGTATCATTTCCTGCAATTAGTGGAACAAACCCAAAAAGCCACTCTCTGTCTAAACCACCAATGAGTCATGCAGTTCTTGCTTTAAAGGCTTTGTATCTGGTGAAACGTTCTTCCTTAGGGGGAACCCAACACTAATGCTGTTCTTCGGGCACTGAATCAACGGAAGAAAGAAGAGCTGCCCATCACTCAATGAGAATGCCTCTATTATATCAGTCATTGTCCTGTTTTACATCATAATGAAAGCTGAACAATTTCTGTCAGCATGTTGACTGACAAGTCAGAAGGGAGTTTTCTGATCTGACAACTTTTAAACAAATCCGCAATTTAATACAAAACATCTAAACTAATCATTTGAATACAAGGGGAGGCATCAACAAAAGTATCTAATGTGATTGTGAATGTGTACTTAAGCTAAACCAGAAAGTTAAGATAGTAATAGATAATAACAAAGGGCTTCAATGACGTGTTAAAAAATACAGACTGCTTGTAGTTTTAGTCAGCAGTGTAAGCAGCAAGGTTTTCCAAATTACAAAATTGAAAAGAGATGTATAACCTGCCCCTGCTTCTTCCTGCGTCTGTAACTTCTTAAGCCAGGCATGTTAAAGGGTACGACCTTGTCCCTATTTACAAGAGTATCCCGTTACAGCCGCCCTTCTGGATCATCGCCGTATAGGACACATACAAAGACCTCCCAGCCTGACACATCTCCAAGAAAAACAAACACTTTTTTATAGTTACCACTCCAAATTGCGGCCACGCTGATTCTTAGATTACCATCAGATAAACACAAATGAAGTGAACCACACGTACAGCTGCTTCCTAACTTTAGCATCTGGAGTTTCTCTGCTGCGGTAGCAAAAAAATGGTCCGTGCCAATAATGTTAAAAGAGACGTCACAAGATTGGAAAACACGCAGATAAGATCGCTGTCAGAACTCGGTGGGGCGCTCGCTGCCATGCTGTTTGTCATTGTACATACAGTTGAGCTTTTAATTTGGAGGCACCTTCTGTTGTCCTTCTCACACTGTGAGTCATGTGAAAAATGCATTTGTGTTCATTTCAGGCAGGATGGAGGAGAAAGATGTCAGCTGACAGGATAGAACGAGTCAGTGGATTTTCTTTGATAAGCTGTTTTCTTAGGAGGCCCTTTCTAGAGAACAGTTACTGTCTGTACTCTGATGTTGGGCCAGTTGCTTAAAAGCACTTCATTAACCAAGATTGAAAATTACTACATTCAAATTTTTACTTCACATAATACAGCAGAATTAAATTAAAGTTAACAACCTTTCTGAAACATTTACATTTCGACCCACAGCAGCAAGCACATGAAGTGTCTGAATAAGTAAGTGTAACTTAACACCCCGTGGAAATCTAGTTTTAGCCGACCATCACCTCCCTGCAGTGATGTAGTCTCACAGACCATTCTGCAGCACAGACTGGTCTGGTTGCACCTTATGTTTCTGCTGTAGGTGAAAACCACTATCAGGTGCTGCTAAGTCAAGGATCATAGACTGTATAAAAGATGGACGTAGCAACCGGCCCTGAAAAATGAAGCCAACCCGGAAGTGTCAAAAACCTACGTCCGCTTGCTGCTGGCTCCAAAAAGCCCTGGCTCCCATAGACTGGAATTGGAAAAGAAGTGATCACAGATCATGAAATACTGTATTCCTACAGCTCAGGATTTTTTTCTTATTAGTTTTCATGGTCAAGTCCAGAGATCAGGTGGCCAATCTGAAAATAAATCAATACTGAATTTTTAAAAAATCGTCAACATTTTGCGGGGCAAGGGGCGTGGCTGGCTTGATTGACAGTCGGCAGCGACAATTCAGACGAAGCGAGCAGAAGGCGGTAAATGTGGGCGGGCAGAGAGGGCCCGCCTCTCAATCCGTCTGACCAATCGCTGCTCCTATGGCTCCGCCCCCCTCCGACGGTTTTTGCGTCACTGTCTCCAAAAATCCAAGATGTCAACCAGGAAGTAGCAAAACCCTGGCTTCATTTTCTCAGTGCAGAAACCAACGGGTGACGTCACGGTAGCTACGTCCATCTTTTATACAGTCTATGTCAAGGATGTAGCAACAGTTCCGCCAAAACAGTGATGGGAGAATGTGGAACATTTGCATGCAGGGAGGTGAGCAGATTCATCAAATGGGCTAATTCTCTGAAAAAAAAAAATAGCAGGGTGGCCTTAATGCACACTTTAAATTCTCAGTGCGGTTGGTTGCTATCCTGGAGGTTGCCGTTTCCTGCAGTGAAGAGGAGGACAACGCTGTGTGAAATGCGCGGGCAATTACAGAATTATACCTCCAGTCTGCATCTGTCCAGTCCAGATAACAGGGATGTAGACACAGCGTCGGGTGTGATTACAGAGGCGTCACTTTTGACCACACCCAACCATAAATCCCACCCATCAGTGATTGTGGAACAGGTTTGAACAATTTCATCCAGAGAGGGTTTTTGAACCGATTTCAGCCTGGTGTTAAGGTACGCTTTCTTTGATTTGATATCATTAGGCACTGAAACAGCAATAACAATGTACATGTGACAGAGCAACAATCACCCACACCTTTAATTCACACACCAATACAGACAGAGTGAGGATGCAGATGGCTTTCCATTTTCAGCAGCTGTCTCTTTCAGCAGGAAGGATGACATGTTTTGGTCCACTCCCAGTGGAGCCAAAGCAACTGGCCAGATGTGAGTTTAAAAAAAAAGAGAATTGCAGGTCATAACAATACAACACTTTTATTGTGAATATATCATATTTGCACAATAATCAACACCATATTATAAACATTTTTTCTTTTCTTTCATTTTCTCTTTTATACAGTAAATAGTATTAGTGTACAAATGTATACAAAAATTTATTCAGGCTAGTGAAGTTCCACAAAAGAGTATTTCATGTACGGTATTAAAGCACAATCAGATATCGGAGGGACACGCACATGCCTGCACATAGACACGGGACCCCCGGGATAAAACACAAGTCAACACGCGACTTTGATAGACAGCATAACCTGATCACTCAACACCAGCATGTCACCACGAAGGCAAGGTGGAGAGAACTACGAAACAAGAGAGAGGAACGGATGAACTCAACCCATGTGTGGTCTTCGTGACTTATGACAAAGTAAGGCAATGCAAAAAAATTATCATTGGTAGTCGTGTGTGTGTGTGTTCTCAGAGTTCTCTCCAGCAGGCCCTGATGCTGATCATAGGCATAGACAGTGTTCAAACACAGAACAAGCTCATCCCATGACATTGCAGCATTTCGACACTGAGCCTTCAGCGTCTGCTTCACAGCACTTATAGAGCAACACAAAGAGGAAACAAGCATAAGGAAGAGAACAGCGAGGAAAAAAGAAAAAAAGAAAAAAACAAAGAAACAGTCATATTGATATGCTGATCTCATTCACAAGTCATCTTGGCTCCTGAGTCTGGTGATCCAGAGAAGGGAACAGAAACAGGATTAATAAAGAGAGGTGTTGGAACGCAAGCTCAAGTCTGGTTTAAGTTTACTTTTGACCAGGGAAGAATCTAATATTAATCTCCCATGATCAAAGTCACCGGTTGTTTCTACTGTTGCCTGGGCCACGAAAATTAGAATAACTGCAGCACATTTGGCCCGTTTCATACTGCAAGGGCTACCCTCTCTCTTCTCTACCGCAGCAAGCATTCGCCAAGAAGCATACATGGTCAGAATACAACACTGATGTGCTGCTTCAATCAGATACCGGACCGTCTGAGCTACTATGTAGGCACTGGGAATTCGATGCATCAAATTGAAGACAACCAAAGCTGTCAGTCAAAGTACAAACATATTTGAAATTGTAATATCCTAATGGTGTTTTTTTTTCACATTGGGTGCACGCTGACCTCATATCTAAAAGGTATCTATCTATTGAATACTGATGCACACCCACGTCTGAGGAATTTCTTAAAATAAACTAGCCTGCAGATTCTCCGTAGTAGGTTTTGCGTGTAATCTGTGGTCCTTGGTACTTTGTGGAGCTTTGGTGTCAAAGTGTTGGTATTGTCTTTAGCTCTGTACTGAGCACATGCTTCTACAATACAACACCTAGCTAGTCACAAAAATGCTAGTTGATTTTTTTGGAGTACAAAAACTGAAATAGATAGGTTAAGTACATTTAAAAACACTCAAAACCGAAGGGATATTCTTCATAGTTGCACTGGTTGCCGAAAAGGAAACGATCATTACAGCATAATGATTCATATGCAATAAATAGAATAAGCAACAAACAACACTGACAACTACACGAATCGATGCTGTCAGTGAACATACAGTCTCTGGATGATATTTAGTTGGCATAGTGGGATAACTCTTCAACCTCCGCTAAATAAACCATTGAAACAAATGAGGCAGAATTAAAGGGTTTGGTTAGCTCTTACTCTTGCACCATAGGAGAGTATTAAGGAGTATATCATGGAAATGAGTGCAGCTGAGCACAGTAAATGTGTCTCTATTTTTGAAAATGATGAGGAGGAAATGAATGAGCACCCTTTGGCATTGGAGAAATGGAAATGCTGATACTGGTTCAGAAAAAAACGTCTCCTTGCAAATATTCTGCATACATCCTGTATGGCGTAACTGGAGTGTCTTCTGGCCTCCTGTGAAATGAGATGACGATCAGTGTGTGAGTGCGTGCGTGCGTGTGTGCGAGTGTGTGTAGGGGTCATGAGTGTCGTAAAGACGTGATGAGCCACAGCAGCAGCAGTTGGAGACCGAGCATTGGCCAGAGACTCGGGCTTAGAAAAGTCCCTCCTCCGCAGTCAGAATCATCTTCCTGTTGGACAGAGCAGTTGTCAGTAAATTAAGACACAGTTTATCGCTGACATTTAATCGTTCTACTACAGCTACTACCATCGGTAATGAGCAGATCATGATAACACTGCGTCTGATTATATTCTCTCTTGTTACAATATTTGACCCTGTATCAAGTTCACAGATCTCATTAAAGCTAGTTGGACGTTTAAGGTTTAGGTGTTTTTTTAAGGTTAAGGTGTTTTTAAAGGTTTTATTTAAGGTTAAGGTGTTTTTTTAAGGTTACGGTGTTTTTTTGAAGGTTAAGGTGTTTTTTAAGGTTTTATTTAAGGTTAAGGTGTTTTTTTTTAAAGGTTTTATTTAAGGTCAAGGTGTTTGTTTTAAGGTTAAGGTGTTTGTTTTAAGGTTAAGGTGTTTTTTAAAGGTTTTATTTAAAGTTAAGGTGTTTTTTTTAAGGTTAAGGTGTTTTTTTAAGGTTTTATTTAAGGTTAAGGTGTTTGTTTGTTTTTTTGGACATTTGGTGTTGGTGTTGTTTTTTGGTGTAGCAATTTCCCTGAGGTCTTGTACCGAAGGGATTAATAAAGTTTTATTCTATTCTAATTCTAATTCTAAGGAAATACCTTTACTCACTTTCTTGCTGAAACTTACATGACGACTTCTAATACCTCTTAAATATAAAGCTGAAGTGAGAAGATGGCTAGCTTTGCAAAAACATAGAGAAGCTGCAAGTGTAATGTATAAAACTGACAGTTTATGCTTTTATAGAGAATATGTGCTTCCTGGTTGGGACTATTTTTTTTTCTCTCTGTGTCCTGTCTCTGTGCTGAGCTGTTTGGCTGCTTCTGTTTTCTACTGAGCAGTGAGAGTGGGATCAATTTTCTCATCTATCTCCCAGCAGGAAAGCAAACAAGCAAATTTCCCAAACAGAACAATTCATCTAAATGTTCTGCAGCAGTTTTAAATGTCTTTCAGACCCCATTCTGCTTTATTTTTTTCACATTTGTGTGTATGCACATGCACCTGCCTCCTGCGCCGTGTAACTTTTTTTCTTTTTAATTTGATGGGAGTATTTAGGATATCCGTGCATGCGGGGAAAGAGGTGGGAGTTTTCTCTATTCAAAGGGCAGGAAAGCCATGTGAAGCTTCCTCTGTTTACTCCAGTGACAAAATGGACTGGCTCGGACACAAACTGTCTTCCTACGAGGAGCCGAGCCCAAAAGTAATGGGACACTTGGAGAGAGGAAAAGGGGCACAGCCTGCTTTTTTGCTCTGTTCATCTCCTTCCTCAGCCATTCCTCCCCTCCCATTTGCTTCCCAGCATGGCCTCTCCGTAACATAAACACGCAGGCACATGAATTGGTGGCCTGTTATGTGTGTGATCGACGCCTTCGCAACACAATGAAAGGCAGAGTTCACAAAGATATGGGAAATGTGCTTTCCAAATATTTAGACATCTTATAAATTGTTCAAAGTTGGGTGGTGATGCAATGATCTCGCACATAATTTATCCACCTTTCTCCTTTGTTTAACTGCTTGAGCTCAAATAATACAACGCGTGAACTTCCATTGTATCATTTCAAGGGAATCTCGATGATCTGAACTGGCTCTTGCTTGACAATTTTGAATTCCAGTACCTGAAAAACTAAAGACTTCCAAATGCGGTGATCATAGCATTCAGCGGCGCTCGACAAAGTGATGGCAGATGCATTTGCAGACAGTTTTGTGTTGCTATTATTGAACGGCGGCGCTATTATATCGATTGGCTTAAACACTTTTAACTGCAGAGGATAAATTTTTGCTCTGTCTGCCGGGGTAGACGAACAAAAAGACGAAAAAATGCACAACAAAATGATGCCAGAATGCCAAAGAAAGATGCAGCAGGCATGCGACAAAGAAGCAAATCCCTACAGTTTAGTGTGTGTGGCAAAATATGGGTAATCCTATAGAAAATGCACCCCTGAATATACAGCATAATAATGAGGAAATTTGCATACAAATCTGTGTTTGTTAGGAAATCATTCAAATGGATCAACCCAACAAAAAAACCATAACATCACTGTGTTTTATGTTCGTTATAGTTCATGTAGCTGTGATGTGATGGAGCTTGAATGGTTGTAAAACAGGTTAAAAGGGTAATGACTGACGTGTTACCCAGCAATTATTGTTTATGACATGTTAACATAAACTACAGGACAACAAATGAGACTGACATGCCACTGTACTGCCTGGTTTACATTGTCGCTCAGGAATTGTAAAGCTCATAGCAATGAAGTAATGAAGCCTTGTGAAGCTGCAAGATGACACTGACCCTGAAGTCAGGATCAGAAACAACAAGAAAGGTGTAGGACTCAGCGTCGAATCTCCGCTGATTGGGCACAAGGGCTCATCCTACCAGCCAGTGGGATGCAGAATAAAAACAAGAAAAAAAAGGAGGAATGGAAAAAAAAAAGATGAGTGATTAGATGATAAAAAAAAAAGTAAAAGAAATAAAAACAAATGAGAGAGCACTCAAAATTCATGGTAATAAAAAAGAATTATAAACAGATGAATGAAAAGGAAACTTAATGAACAAATGAAGCATAAAAACAGACTGGAAGAGCAGGCAGCCAGCAGTGCTTTCAGCCTATTCACAGAGCAAAATGCTGATAATAACCAGACAGAAATTGACGGAGCACAACTGTTTAGTCTCACTAATAGAGCTGCTATTCTCTGCACAAAGTGTGGTTGTGTCTTACGTTTTCATTGTTGTCGAAACACACGTCCGGCCCTTTGCGGTATCTGGGATTCTGAGCCAGCTCGCATGGATTTGGACCGACAGCTGGACAGACGCTCAGGAAAATATGATTTGCTATCAGCAGTGCACATTTTAACAACAACTGAACAACTTTTAATTTCTCTTTTTGCCAAAAAATCAGTTTTCAGCTCATGTGTCAGATAAAACCCATCCATTATCTATACACCGCTTATTCCTCACTAAGGGTTGTGGGGGGGGCTGGAGTCTATCCCAGCTGGGTGAAGGCAGGGGACACCCTGGACAGGTCACCAGTCTATCACAGGGCTACACTTAGAGACAGACAACCAAGCACACTCACATTCACACCTACGGACAATTTAGAATCACCAATTAACCTCAACATGTTTCTGGACTGTGTGGGGAGGAAGCCGGAGAACCCGGAGAGAACCCACGCTGCACGGGGAGAACATGCAAACTCCACACAGAAAGACTCCGGTGCCCCCACAGGGACGCGAACCAGCGACCTTCTTGCTGCGAGGCAACGGTGCTAACCACCGAGCCACCTTGCAGCCCTGGAGATAAAATGATTTTTTATTTTCTTGAATAGTTACTAATTGTCTATAATCATCATATCACAGATTTAAATATAAAATCATTACGAGAGACTGTTGTAAAAATAATACCGCAGGATTTGGAAGCCGGTGATTTGATGCAGTTTTGTACAACATGTATTCGTCTGAAGAAATTTAAATGTACCTTCACCATTAACCCATGCACAAATGTTTAGAATGATCTACTATCTTGCAGGCAGCAGTAAGTGCGTACATTGTATGTGTACCAGTGTTTCTGTGTGTTGAGTGGCATCATTATCAGCAACCAGAGGCCCCTCTTGCAACCCTGTGGTGACTTCTGATGACGACACCTTTAGTGTTACATCAGCGGGAAGCTACACTCAAGACACGTGTCAAACACACATCCTGAGCATATATGCACATATAGCGTATATGAGAGAACACCTCTGGCCTTCACCTTAATTCAACCTGATGGCAGCCTGTAGCCCAGATGAAATTAAACGAGGAAGCCTAATCTAGGAGTAACATGAGACCGGCTTTCATATGCCGTGCATCTGGTTTACTGTTCACCCGTGAACATTCAGGGGGGGACCCGCTGCAAACTCCTTAGGTGTGCGTCCTTGTATTGACAGTTTAAAGCCCCTCTGTCATACGGGTGATGGATGGAGGATTGGAGAGCAAAAAAGGAAGTGTAACTCTCTGTTCCCTTTTTTTTTTTACGAGTCCAGTGAAAGGATACAGGGCTGCTCAGCCTGCCGTAGAGGCCTGGGGTCACATGACAAACATGTTGCCTTGGCATCAGTGATCAGAAACACTAGGTTGGTGTTGGGCAGCTTCTCGGCGCGGTACATCCTAGAAAACACACACGTATGAACATTAACATAAATCCAGTCTGTGTACATACAGGCTAAGCACCGTGCAGCTTTAATCTACATGCATTAATGAATTTCATTTACATATATCGTACACAGTATATACACCACATACACATGTAGGCATGTGTGCACATGCATACACATTCATAGCATTTCCCTCCTCTTAGGGCTTTTTATGGTAGTCATTAAAGTTTCTGTGTCTACAGTTATTAACTTTGGGGAGTAAAGCATCAGACACGTGGGACTCGTAACACCCAGTAATTACAGCCATATTTAACCCCCTCCGACAGCCCGAATTGACACAAACGGAGGTTAGAGCAAAGTAAATGTGCCAGCGCTCTGCGAGTGTGTGTGTGTGTGTTGGTGAGTTTGAAGTACAGCCAGCGAGCGAAGGAAGAAAAACAGATAAAAGGGCTTTTGTGCTTCCCTCTGCAATTCCGGTCACTGACAGATCAAGGTAATCTGTGTCTGATCAGAACTCATCAGAAAACAGCTGCCTGAAATCAGGCTGCAAAACAGAAACACTCCAGGAAACTAGAGCTATTCTGGACTAATCCCCACAGACCACTAAAGAGAAGGATGTGCAGCGAGAAAAAAAGAAAATACAATAAAAAGGTGGAAAGTCTTTAATAACACAACCCATTTACCCACAATCATATGAACACACGTGTACATACCTAGAACAGTTTCCACAGTCCAGGACACCTGAGTAGGATCTTTCATCATTGTCGAAGAAGTACTGAGTCTGCTCTGTGATACAGCTCTCCTTAAACATTGCATCTGGTATGTCTTCATCCCCTGAATCCGCTGGAAATAAGAAACAGGTTTTTTTTTACAGGCTAGTTACAGAAAACGATTAGTGAGACAGGGGTAGGATTGGAACTCAAGAGATTGATCGCCAAGCGCTGTTGACTCTCATCTAAATAATGTCGATACACAGTCAGCGCTTGTGTTGCTCACCTGCTTCTAGAAGGTTGGGGAACACGAGACTGAAGAAGAGCTGCTGAAGTATCGACCTAGACGGGAGGGATGAAAAAAACAAAACAACAAACAAACAAAATGAGTCACATGTATGAGTCAGCGAATCTTCAGGCATCTTTAACTGATTTACAAGCAGCCAATAGCTGTTTACTAAAAGCAACACATCTGTCCGATGTTACAGTCGCCCGCTGATGTAAATGTCATGGGAAGCTATCTGCCATTATGTTTTAAAGCCTGGTTATATTGCAGTAACACAAAGTGATGCAATAAAACGTTGTGTAACTGCCCTTGTGCTACACTGACCCAGCCAGCTTCATCGCTCCACAACGTCCACTCCCATACAAAACACCTACCCTGAAGTACAAAATCTGCTCCCACTCTGAAATTGCACACACAAATAAACCAACAAAAGAAAGCACACACAACCTGCAGCACAACTCACCAGGCAGCGCTGGAGGCCCACCAGCCGATACTGAGCAAGTCTGCAATGGTGGGCTGGAGAAGGGAAAGAAATTCATTTAGTCCAACATAAAGCCAGTGAGGCTTAGTAAGGTCATTCAGCTGTGGGGTGTTTTTTTTCTTCCTCCATTTGGCCATTTAATGTAACTGTTATGATTCTAGGAATAAAAATCTATAATCACGATATTACTGGAAGTGCATCGGAGTGTAAACAGTCATAATTTGAGAAATGAGTGGCCGCTTTCTGACAGCTGTGAGTTATCTAACCACGTAGACGGAGCGCGGTCCTGCCGCTGCCTTGCTGTCTCTCTCTGGGTCGCAGACGGACTGGTAGTCGTAGGTCTTGTTGAAGGAGTACAACGAGGTGTTGACGAGGTTGATCATCAGCACCGGATCCACCTCACCAAAGAACTGACCTATCTAGACGAGTTTATACACACACACACACACACACACACGAACACACAGAAGAAACGTCAGTAAAAACAGTGTAAATCTCAGCTTGTAAAAACAAACCATGCAGCTGTGTCCCATTTTCTCCGACAGGCCTTTATAGTTTTTCGCTCGGATTTAGCTAAAAATTTGCATCCATGTGTGCAGCCAATCACAGTAAGCCCAAAGTGTTTTGTTCGCTTTACTTTTATTTATTTATTTGTCTGGATTTGGTGTTTTTTGTGGGGTGCTGTTGGTGGGCAAAAAACATGCAACTCAGCAGAAAACAAAGATGAAAACAGAACAAGGAACAATATCTGAGTGACGATTGCACTGAAACAAACCAAAATCAAACATAAAACGTGTCTTATTAACACAGACAGGAAACATGTATCACCAGGCGTACATTTTTTGTTATCTATAACTCTAAAAAAACAACAAAAAAGCCCAAATAAAGCCAGATCGGACCACGTGTTTCACTTAAATCTCATAAACTGGCCACAATCACACACAGCATCATGCATAAACTGAACACTAAGATGTATTTACCCCAAAATCCTGGGGTGTAATTGTGTTATTTGCTTCACAATTTCAGGTACAATAATAATCTTACTACATCCAGAACTGGATTACTATTTTTTAAAACATAAACGCACTGTACTGCGCAAAAAAGCTTGAGGCACTAAAATTAAAGGCAGGGTATTTTCAGATTCTCCGAGGTGCACTTGCACACTGTTTTTCAAGGTACTTGGCAGGCAGGTTTGTTGGAGAACTTGCCACAGTTCTTCTGTGAATTTACGCTATCTCAACGTCTTCTGTCTCTTCATGTAATCCCAGACGCATTCGGCGATGCTGAGATCAGGGCTCTGTGGGGGGAACATACCATCTGTTGCAGGATTCCTTGTTTTTCTTGTGACTAAAGCGAGTTCTTTATGACTCTGCCTGTATGTTCGGAGACGTTATGCTGCGCGGAGTGAATTTAGGAGTGATCAGATGCCTCCCTGCTTCTTTCTGCTAACCAAAATAATCATACAGGTTGTATAGGCTGACTGAGTTATCTTGTTTTAAACAATGAAAGGGTACTCCCCAATAACTCACACTGATACCTTTTGCCTTTCAAAAGAATCATAAAACCTCCAAGTTTCTTAGTTTTAACTTATTCTGCTCACATTTATGTCTGAGTGTCTGTGAAGATTCTCAGTCATCCAGGTCGTGGTTATTCTGGTTGATTAGTGGTAGCAACTGGACTCGCTTGAGTTCCTTGAAGACATTTCACCTCTCATCCAAGAGGCTTCATCAGTTCTGACTGACGAGTTGAGAGTTCCAGATACTTATATCCTAGAAGAACTAAGGTGTTAATGGCTCTTCTAGGATATATGTATCTGGAACTCCCAACTATTCAGTCAGAACTGATGAAGCCTCTTGGATGAGACGTGAACTCAAGCAAGTCCAGTTGCTACAACTAATTTGCCAGAATTTATGTCTGGGTTTTAAGGCAGGGGGGCTGCAAGGTGGGGCAGTTGGTAGCACTGTTGCCTCACAGCAAGAAGGTTTGCATCCCAGTGGGGGCACCGGAGAGAACCCACGCTGCACAGGGAGAACATGCAAGTCACGTTGAGGTTAATTGGTGATTCTAAATTGTCCGTAGGTGTGAATGTGAGTGTGCTTGGTTGTCTGTCTCTAAGTGTAGCCCTGTGATAGACTGGTTACCTGTCCAGGGTGTCTCCTGCCTTCACCCTGAGTCAGCTGGGATAGACTCCAGCCCCCCATGACCCTAGTGAGGATTAAGCGGTGCATAGAAAATGGATAATGGGATGGTTTTAAGGCAGCCCTGCCACTTCTGTGACATGAAGCGTGGCACCGCCAAGCTCCACTTCCACCTGTTATACATGCTGATGTGAGGCTGCTGTCGTTGTCACAGCAGGTTTTGTGCAGCAGCAGTTTGACTTTTTCTCCACAAATCAAAACACCAGTTTAAAGATGGACCCAGACCTGGTGTGTGCACATGCTGGGTCTTCTTTTACAGGAGCTTCTCTTCAAAGAATAAATTGGATAAACATGTTGAGGTACCTATAAATGTTTGATAGGCTCATATGTAAAGATGATGAACAGAGAGGTGTGGCTTAATCCTGATAAACGGCTCTGGCTATGATCAGAGAACTGCTACGACACATAACTCTTGTTGTTTGACAGCAATAAGTCAAAAAAAAAGTTCTGCATCCCTACGGACACCAACCAATCAAAGGCAGTAGATGTCCCGCCTTGACTGACACGAAATGTTTCCATACTGTATATCCCACCGCTAACAGATAGCGGCCGATAGAGCGGAGTTAACGCAGCCGAGCAGAATTCTTACATACACGGGGGACTCACTTCAGTGCTGCTTCCATGACTGACTAAAAACCGTCAGAGCCTTCGCTTTGATCCTCCTCCAGTGTCTAGCGCTTTCCTTTACCAGAGACATGGGTGTAATGCTGTCCTAGAGGAGTACAGCTCAGAGCAAGCAGGTCATTCTCATAACTTAGCTGAGTCATAAGTCCTTTATTTGACCTCTATATGAGATTGATGAATTCCTGTGACAAAGGTAAGATCAGCAAGGTATGCGGAGAGGTAGAAAGCTGAGGAAATAAGACGTATGACTGCTGGCAGAGTCTTTGATTTCCCCCTTTTTTTTTCTGATTATGTGACTACAGATGTTATATTGAGTGTCGATTTCCTGCTTACTGATCATTTGGGGGAGAGATAGATGCACCCAAATGACTCACACATACTCGGTCACACTCATGTAGAGACGGTTGCTGATGGTAACTCACCAGGGTAATGTATTCATCTTGATTGGACATGAGAAGGAATCCTCCGTCGTCCAGTATCACGCAATCTACATGCTAAAAAAAAAAAGACAAAGAAATTCTAAAAAATTGAAAACAATAACCTGGTGCGACTGAGGCTGTATGTAAGGGAAAAACTTAGACGATGATGAGCAATATGATTAAAACAAAGAAGTTTGGATTAAATAAATTGCTAAACAATGCTGTACCTTGTCATTCCTCAGACAGCCACAAATCTCATCCTTGCACTAAAAAAAGTATAAAAGGAACCAGACAAGAAATTAGCATTTGGCACCAATAGTTGTCAGAGACGTTGTATAAAATACGACGACTTACGTTCAGCTTCAGGGTAGCGTTCATGAAGCTGTTCATCCAGAACGAGACATTGAGTTTCACTCCCACCACTACGGAACAAACCACAAAACAGACAGAGGTCTCTTCATTTGTGTCGCATCACAACAACGCAACAATCTGGTATTAGCAAGACTGACCTGCTGGCTTGAGCGTGACTTCATCGACGGTGAGGTCGACCGCTTTGCTCACCAGAATACCTGACTCAGACACAGGCTCCCTGCTCTCTGCTGCAATACAGAACACATGAACAACAACCAGTTATAATGGTGATTTCACTGAAATCCTGTTTAGAAAGAGTACATTTCTGAATGCGCATTACAAGTTCAGTGGGAATAATAGCTATTCTTTTTTGGAAAATTCCATACATTTTCAGCTGCTGTAATTTACGACAGCGGAGTCTGTGAAGCCAGAACATGTGTTAATCCAGTCAAGTGTACTGTAGCTGTAAGCATGGCTACATTACACTGACATTTGGATGTCCTGATGTCTGTTAGAGAGATCAGCGGAGATGACAGGAAGTATACAGGGCAGGAGGGAGGGAGAGAGGGTGGGGATGAGCAGTGAAAGACGCAGCAGGAAGGATAAAGAGAGTGATATCAGAGGCCTGAGAGTCTGATCTTTGCCAGTAGGGTTGGGATGGCGTCCAAAGGCAGAGAACAGAATAGGCTCGGTGCCAGACCACACTGAAGATCCTCACGCACAATAAAGTGCGTGCATATTCAAACCTTTCAAAAAAAAAAAAAAACTTACCGTTGAAAGATGGAGCTGTGAAAATATAAATTTCATTGTCCAGGGTCCTCTTGTAGAAGCTGGACTCGTACGTCTCAGGACTCTCCATCCACTCTTCCCCAGCGCTGAAAACAACAATGTAGTCGGGTTAGATTAGACACGGACGTCATCGGGAGAAAAACACCGAGCAAATGTGTTTGATCTATCCAAAAAAAAAGAGATTTTAATCTACAGCCAAATGTAAGTCATAAAAATAGGAGTCACACAAGTGATGCAGTTGATATATGAGAAGAGCTTAATCCAGTAAAAATAATAACTTTCATGTTTTATCGTGACAAGAACTATGCATCCATTTTCAGTGAGAATGTTAGATTTGTGACAGAGAGGAACATCTATATGCAGTTCAGACAAACGTAGCAGCGAGGACATTGAGGAAATTCAGCTGCGTTTGGCAGCAGGATTTGTGGATTTGACCCATGTCCTGTACTGGTCTGGCAAGCTCGAAGAGTTCAGCTGAAAGACTCTAATCCTCCATGTTCTGGAAAATAACCCAGTGGAGCAGGTGAGTAAAGCAGCCAAAAGTGCTAAACCTAGGAGTATTACAGTCTGTATCCATTTTCATTTCACACGTTTACACCACCACATATTTCAGAAAAGCTGGCCGTGCTGCTTCACGCTAGCAGTGAAACTGAGAAGAGGAAGAGTACCTTCTTGGATAGACTCTTGTGATTCCTCCATCTGTTGCTACAAACCTGGCCACTATCCCATCCCTGAGAACACGAAGAGCAAGAGCCAATCAAACATCAAAGTCAATCACAGTCACGATTAGTAGGGGGAAAAAAAAAAAGTGTTTGTGAACTTTGAGACGAAGCTGCAGACACGACACAAATTGTTTTATGCCCAGTCACTTGTCTCAGTTTGTCCTAATGTTAAACAGATACTCTTCAATGTGTGTAAATGTGCATTCAGATTATTTCAGACAAGTGGGCATACCATAAAAGGAAACACACTGATGTAATTATTTTATTTTCCTCTCAAAACAGCACGCCTTGGCAGAGCTCGGCATGGTTGGGTGTGATACACATTTTGCGCTTTGCTTTCATCATATTTCACTCGAGAGTAGTGATCAAATCATCCATAATGGAGAAGAAAGAAAGAAAACGCTGGCTCAGATAGTCAATAAAATAGTGCATGTAATAAGCATCAGCTCAGAGGAAATAGTGTACACATGCAACGCAGAATTCTGCATGAGAAGGAACATTTGTTCTGCTTTTTTTTTTTTTAAACCAGTACATGTTGATGCTGCAAGGTAAAGAAAATTGCACCTTTGCATTTGCTTAAAAGAGAAAAGAACTGACAGGTCTGGCACTCACACTGGCTGCTCGTTCCAAAGTTTAACCAGGTCAGCTGTCAGACCTGCATCCAGGATTAGTCGACTCACGAGGGACACATTACCTATGCATTAAAGACAGGATGCATTATACATATTGCAGATATTACAACCCCACAGTGCAGCGCTTAGTAAGGGAATTATGCTAATGAAACCAAGGGGAGGCAACTTTTCACTAATTTGCATGGGGAAAATAAGTTTTGTGTTGCAGAAGAATTGTTGCTGATCAATGCACAGAATCCCCCAAAAATCTGATCTGCTGTAACACCAAGAATACCAGCATGTATGAAAGTCTGACAAAGAGGAGGTGTGTTCTGCCAAATCTTTTCTCTGCATAAATGACGGGAGAAACTGATCTCATGGCACCTGTCAGGAAATCATCCAGCGGGGAGACCATTATCATTCAAACAGCAGAAAGTACTTTGTGAAAGATTGGCTGTTGTAGCATTAGGAGGGAGAACGATGCCAAGGCACTGAGTTTCAACTTCATTGTTCAAGAAATCATGTGAGCGCATTTCTTTTCAAAGCGTCCACGCGGCACCTCCCCAGTGTTGTTTTAAAACATGCCAGTAACTTTTCACGAAGACTCGACACGCAAACAGCAAAAAAGCATTAGCGCCAAAGTATATGAGTTGACCTTGGGTTAAAACGGATCAAGGGTATACAGATCCATTAGCTGGATGACGGTGGTAAGCCATACCAGCGCAGGGATCCATTAGATGATGACAAATCAAACATTGTGAGTCACTGTGTAGCATGACAGCATCGGGCTTCTAGGAAACTCAGCGGATCAGTCTGATGTCACCCTGCTTAGACCAGAGTAATCTAATGACCGAAGTCATGATCCGACCTTGAGTTGCTGGCTATCATGATATCAGGCTGGAATTCTTGGCTATTTATTTACGACCGCGATGAACGGTGAAACATACCATGCGTGTGCGCTCAGTCTCCCACTGCAACACACTGTACGCTAATTTAGCTGAAAACTGTGCGGGTCAGTGGTCTTATAATACCCAGATGAATACGAACGGCGCACGAAACTCATACAATAACTACAAGTGAAAAAAAACCAAACGCATGACTCACATGCATCTGGAGTGTTTCTGTCAATGTACTGGTTGAAGTCGAGGAGAAACTGGGTGTTGTTGACTGACAGCTTCAGCTCTTTGCAGTACTCCCTTGAAGAAACAGTTATGGTAAGTTGGACAGAGCGTTCCCTGTTTGTACCTGTGTCTCGTTAAAGTGGATTGTACAAAGGGGGGAACTCACCTGGGAGCGATGTAGGTGTAACCGAACTCATCAAACCTGTCCAGCTGTATGGTCTCCATTGCTTTTGAAAACACAAAATACCTGGTTTAGGCTCATCATTTATTAAAAAAATCCATCTCCAGTAAGTTTTTTATGACACGGTACACTGTGAAATGACATGACACGCACATGGTCGTATCATATTTTTGAAAAAATGCTGTTAGATGATACAAGGACACACATTCTATAACATCCACACAAAGTAATAGTGGACATATACGAGGTGATGGATTAGGGTAGAGAGTGCGTATGAGAGCGCAGTGGTGAGGCACGAGAGAGGAATCGACTGAGAAATACTTGCCTTCTTGCCCTGTTGTGACCCCAGAGAGAAAGAGCAGCGGAGAGGTAAAAGTGAGAAAGACAAAAGGGGATAAAAACGCATTCATCATCTGAGAACTGATGTCATACAGGAGGGGGGAAACGTGTTGAAATTTGTGAAAATCTACCACAGGATGAAATGAAATACTTTGCTGCAGTGAGAGAATATTAGCTCTAATAGAGAGACCTTGAGGGAAAAAAAAAAAAAAAGATCGAGTGCACTATGTAGAAAAGCAGAACATAAAGTAATGAAAGGGGAAGTAGAGCATGCAAGAAAATTACAAGTAAACATACAGCAGTGTTAGAGAGAAGAAAAAAAATCCAGGATTTCGCTTGCTCTACCTCTGGATTTCATTTAAAATACTGGTCTGGTAATCCTTATCTCATAAATGACATGACAGGCATCAATGGCCATCATTCACTGGTCTCTTAAAACGAAGACATTTTGGACATTGCCTTTAAAATATATTGACTCGTGCGGCGCAGTCTGCAAAAACAATCACTGAGCGCGGAGTTTCCTCAGGGTCGTGGAAATCTGGTGCCGGATGAAACGACGTCCTTCATATAAAACATAACAAGCAGATTCATTGTCGTTCTGTCTCTACGGACTGGGCAGGGTGTCTCTACGTCCAATGGCTTTCCAACATCACTCATTCCTTCGCTGCTTTCGTGCTTTTTGCTTATCTGTCACCATCTCCTCAACCCCCAGGATTAGGTCATTTATTCAACACATTCTTCCTATGGATAGAAATCTTTTCATCCATTACACCCCTTGTGCTGGTGACCCTCCCTAATGCACAAGTGGACAAGTGGCTGCGTAAACCGCCTACTGCAGGAGAGCGGCGAGATGGATTGAGGTTTTGGTGGTCTGGCTCCAATGTGAAACTCTATACGGCTGTACAGAGAACTTTAGAGTCCCCAAACTCCCCGTCGGAGTAGTCTGTGGCAGTAAGGCATGGTGTGTTACTTTCTTTAACAGGCCTGTAAACGTTCTGACAGCCTTTATGGCACAGTGACAGACTCGTTATGGCGGAGAGGGAGTGATACAGGGGCTGAAACACTCAGTCAAAATCTCATCTGTTGGACTAACTGCACCATTAGTTGTTTATGCTTTGTGGCGTCACATCAAGGTTATGAAAAATTCACCAAAGCCAGATGGTTGTGTGCTGAATCTGCTGTTTTGTTTTTTGTTTTTTTCCTCCTACTAATTACATCCTTTGATCAAAGCGACCAGCCGCCCACGCTTCTATCTAAGTCAGCTTCATCCATCCCTCGCATCGAATATGGTGTGACCACGCGAACGTATAGAAAAGCCAACATGCAAACGGATGTGGGGGGGTCATCACAGAAGAAGACACAGAACAGCGAGTACTTGCCCCAAGTAGAAGCTGCGAAATTCCAACACAAGAAGCAGGATGAGAGAGAAAATTCAGCATCAGAATCAAAATGTACAAAGAGTGACCAGCCAGCATATGTGTGTGTGTATATGAAAGAGTTTTGTCCTTGTGATTTATAAGTCACTGTTATATTCGCTGGGTTGTGAGTTGTTAAGACGAAACAGCCAGATTGTATCATAAGGCAAGACAGCCTTGGGAGCACAAACAAAGCAAAAAAAATAAATAAATAAAGAGGCTGAAGAAATAAAGGATACAGAGGGAGAGGGGAGAGAAAGGGATATCAGGAGGAATAAAGAGTATGAGGTGAGGACAGATTTGCAGATAAGATAGAGATGGAGGAAAAACAGCTTGACAGACAGAGAAAACAATTCAGAGGAGAAGATGTTTGTGTTAGGTGGCTCATTATTAAGAATTTAAGACATATAAAAAAGAAGATTGTTGGCTATGAAAACAGACTTAAAGGGTAAAAAGAGGAAGAGGAGAGGTGATAATGAGGAGAACAGGGAGGTTTCCAGAAGAAAGGGCCAGACGAAGGGAGTGAAAGAGGACAGAAGAGCAAAATGCAGACAAGATCAAAAGGCTCAGTGCTTATGCTGGGTATGGGAGAGGAGGGGATAAGCATGTGGAAGAGTTTGTGTGGGAGTGCAGGGCGACTGACCAGTGGGTTACACTACAAAAAGAAAAGCGCTGTGGGGATTCGCTGATCTGAGCGGCGAATACAAAGGGAGCGGCTTTGGTTCCAGCTAGGAGCGAGTAAGTAGAGATACTCAGGAGTGCAACCCAAAGAAAGTATGCACGGGAGTCGGCTGTGTGTGTGCGAGGCTCCGGCAAAATTAAACCTTATTGATTTTGTTTGTTTATCCCGGGCGTCATACTCACACATGGCTTGTATCATGTCGTCTCCCAGTTTAGCTTGAATGAAGTTTTCGCTGTATTTCGGCAAAACAAGAGCCAGGCTGCAGAAAAGACAAATATAGTTACAAAAATAAAAAAATCAGTGCATGTTCAGTGAAATGCAAAACAGGATCCAAGCAGAGCTCGATGTAAGAAACAAGAGAGTGACCCCTGTTGGTTCAAGCAGCATCCTCCATCATTTTGGAGTGTTCTCAGTCGTTAGTGGCATTGAGCTGTCGTGCTTCAAATAAACATATAGCCTTCTGAAAACAAAGCGATGTCTCACCTGTAGTCTGTTCCGTTGACCGGTGCCCATGTGTAGGTTCTGATTCCTCTATCTATGTACCTCTGCCAAACATGATACACACAAAAACAGTCAGAAAAATGCTCTGTAATGCTAATGCGATGTGGCAGTTTTTTTTTTTTTTTATTGCTTAAGAAAACAACCTGTGAAAAATGCTGCTGCAGAGAGACTATTTTCTTCCCAAACATCGAAGTCTGGCACATTGTCAGCGGTGCATTTTTGCATTCTCTCCATGTTTCTTTTCCGCTTTGTGTAAATAGATAAACCTGTTCTCAATGCAAGACCTTAATTCCTGCAAGCAGCAGTGAGCAATGTCATTCTGCAGCATGGAGCGTAACTCTTAACTCTAAACATAGTGTAAGTTTAATAAAAAATAGAGGTGCAAAGTTTTCAGATTTCAACAGTTTCAGACAAATGTGCCTTATTAAATTTTTACACTGCCTTAATATGTCAGTGTGGCTGAATCATTTAATCATGCTGTATTTTTAGCACTGCAGCAGGAACCCTCACTATTTCCTTCACTGAATTTGATTAACAATACACAAATAAAAAGCCTCAGTTTGTCTATAACAACTCTCACAGCATCCAAAACAAATGTAAAGTTCCCCCAAGATCGTGTAAAACTCCCTCCTCCACCATTTCTCCTCTTACCTCATCCTGAGTTTTCACCAGAGTGTCAATAGTCTTCTCTCCCGTCTCGCCATCAATCATCATTCTCCTGATCTGCAGGGAGACATGAAGAAACAAGACAGTGTCACCCGGACCTGATTCACTGAGTGTCAGCTAATGTGAAAAGAGTCTGTCTCATAACTTCATACTAACAAGTTAGGGACACTGGTTAAATCACTCCATAGCAGCTTTATGAGGAGACGTGAGACATCTGGCACCTGGATACCTGTCTGGATGTATCCAGCTGTGAATCTGTGTGTGTGTGTGTGTGGGGGGGGGTTTCCATGTATCTGCATACTCTACCTCCACTTTGATGTCATTCTCCAGCTCAGCATCCAGAAAGTCCAGAGTTACAGGCTCCTGGAATTTAGGATTCTGTGGAAAGTATCATCATTTAGTCTGTGCAATTTAGGAAAACTACACACAAGCCAATCTAACGAGACATAAAAGGGATGGTTGTGAGCAAAACACAGAAGAAACCTTTATTTTAGCCGCATGCTGAGATAGACTGGAAGCAGTTTTTTTTTTTTCTTATGTGAAAACCCTTTTTCTAAATCCTCTTCATCTGAAGCCGGCTGAGTTGATACAGAAAAATGATACAATATGCGGAGTACCATTTTTCAGTTATTTTTTAATAGATGGGTTCTTCCCATCAGCAGAGAGAAGAATTCCTCTGCATCTTAGCGCAGGTTGTTTTCAGACATTATTGCATTCGAGTATTAATATGAGGCAGGTTAAGCAGGAATATGATATTATTACTGCTGTATCTTAGTGATAACCCAGAATAGGCAGCAACACAATCACTCGCTCGCTCGCCTGTGGTTATTCTTGCGCACAAAGATGGCCGCACTAATCTGTGATTGAGTGCATCGTGAATTGTTTACTTGCTCTTGACCAACTAAAAGACTTTCAGAGCATGAATCACCTTTTGGAAAACACGTCACCAGCTCCTTTCATTTTCTCCAACATGTGTGTTTGTCAGAACGTCTCCGAGTCATTCGTGGAAAACTGCTTTGGTGTTTATAGGAGCATGGCCGAGGCAGTCGAGGTGATGAGATTCTCTCATCAGTCCGAGCTTCTCTTGGGAGTACAAATTTTAACCATTGGGCCGTTCTGAGTCGTGTTACTGTGCCTTGGTTCTGCTTTTAAATGATCTGGTTTATGAATGGTACAAAAAGGAACTTTTCATCCTCAGTGTGCTCAGGTGCATTTCAGAGCTGGTATAATAGAAACCCTTCAGTATCAAAGAAGACGTGGCTCTGAACTAAACCTGTAATATAGCTGCAATGCTGTTATGTTAGTGAGAAAAACATACACCCCTATGTACCATTGTGGCTGGTTTTCTGCATTGTAAGAGTGATACAATACCTCCATGATATAAAACTGGAAATTATCACTCAGTTATTCAAAAATAATAATAATAATAATAATAATAATAATAATAATAATAATAACAATTGAGGGCTGCAGGGTGGCACAGTGGGAAGCACTGTTGCCTCGCAGCAAGAAGGTTGCCGGTTCGCGTCCCGGTGGGGGCACCGGAATCTTTCTGCGTGGAGTTTGCATGTTCTCCCCGTGCAGCGTGGGTTCTCTCCGGGTTCTCCGGCTTCCTCCCACACAGTCCAAAAACATGTTGAGGGTAATTGGTGATTCTAAATTGTCCGTAGGTGTGAATGTGCTTGGTTGTCTGTCTCTAAGTGTAGCCCTGTGATAGACTGGCGACCTGTCCAGGGTGTCCCCTGCCTTCACCCAGTCAGCTGGGATAGACTCCAGCCCCCTGTGACCCTAGTGAGGATTAAGTGTTGTATAGATAATGGATGGATGGATAATAATTGAATTTCCCTTCTGGAATAAATAAAGTATTTTTCAAAATATTTTTCATAAGTGGATATCATAACTATCAGTTGGTGGCTCTTCACACAGTTTTTCGATTAAAACATTACAAAAAACCTTCAATTTTGACATTTTTTCTGTGAATTGTGAGACAAATAGTTCGTTTCACACCAGCGACTTCAGCACTTAACCCTTAATCGATTGAGAAAAAAGTCTGACTATCACAGAGTAACTGTCCCGCTAACAACACCAGGTATGCATTTACGCGTTAATAACATACGACTTCAGTTAAGTTCTTTTGTAGTCAGCGCAGGAGCAATGACAGCCATTTTCCTTGACACGTGAATCTAATCAAATCCATGAAAAAACAAAGGGGACCATATGGCAGCGTTTTGACAACATATCTGACACCAGACACAGCTGAAGCAGATTTGATACAAAGTGACACTGAACTCTGTTAAATGTCCTCTCTTAAAAACCCTATACGTCTGAGTGGCTTTACGGCGGTATAAAATAGTAGCAGTAATCTAGTGCTTCTCTATAAAACAGCAGTACATGGAATCTGATACTAGCCTATCCTCCAGAGCGTTTACTCGCTCAAAATGTGGGGTAATGCGATGAAAGCAAAGTAGTGCCGAAGCGAAACACAGTTTTGTGAATTTTGGGGCGTAGCGAGATGCATTTTGACTTTAAAGGATGCGAGAGAAAGAGTAGAATTAAAAATAAACCAACAGATAAAGTGCGAAAAAGCACAAAACGACAAACAAAATCATCATTTACAGCAAAGGATGCGAGTTGATTTCCTTACATGTAAGCGAAACGAAACGAAGCAGCGAAAGGTAGATGGCGAAGATGAAGCGTCTCAACATGAAAATGAGAAAAGAAAGAATAAAAGATCAAGCGGTAAAACACTGGGTGATACAGAATGAAACATCAAACATGCACTAAGACAGGAGAAAATATGAAGAGATAAAATAAAAAAAAAAGAAAGAGGGAGGATGCTACATGGTGTGAATAGCAAAGAGAGAAAAGATCAAATCAGAAATGAGGAGGGAGAGAAGAGGAGCAAGAAGAATGAGAGAGTATGTCCACGAGAGAATTCTGGAGGTGATGTGGGGTGTGAGATCAAAATAAAAACACTGCTGCAACAGGGGAGGTTTGTGTGATTAATATGAAACATCCAGTAGAGTGAGAGAGGAAGGGACTGAGTCAACGTTTAGTATTCACGTCATCCACAATGAGCCTTACAGTATGAAGGCCTGTTAGGAAAAGTAGCATATTACATGGGCTTAATCTGAGAATACCTGTGTCTGTGTCGTAAGCTCACAGTGTTTGAATTTGAGAGGAAACCTGAAGTGGCATTATCTTATTAGTGATATCAACACAAGCATAATTGTATAACAATGTAATGGTAACTTCCATCCTTTCCTTTCCTTTCCCACTGTATTTTCTTTGTTTCTTTTACTACCCACTAAAGCTGGCTGCACTTCTAAAACCAAAGCTGTTTATATGGAAAAAGGGGGCAAAACGCTACAAAAGCTCTCTGGAAATCAACACTAAACACAAAACCCATTCTCTACAAAGCTACACCTCAGCAACTCAGTCTAACCCATTGTGTTACTTTGCCTTGTGCAGCCCTGTTTGAATTGTTTCATATTTTTAAAGCTGAATTGTTAAGCTAAAAAAAAAAAGTGCATTAAACTGTCATGTAGGCCAGCTTTGCCCCTTTACATCCTCTGAACCCCAAATGATTTCTGTGTGTTTTTTGCTTCACGTTTTCACTCGCTGTGAGTTCATTATATTCTTCTTTTTGAAGAATCTGGTGTAAATGGTTCATTTTTGGTTTGTTTTTAAATGAGAAATGTAGAGCGAAGTGATTTCAATGACACACCACAATTTTAAAATTTGGTTACCGTAATTTCCGGACTATAAGTCGCCACTTTTTTCACACGCTTTGAACACTGAGGCTTAAACAATGATGCGGCTAATTTAAGGATTTTTACGTTTTTTACAAATTTGCCTCGAGACAACAGTGACAACACAGAGAGACAAAGTAATTCTGAGGCTGTTCAACTCCGACACTGAAGAAGACGACTTTAGTGGTTTTAGTGCGCAGGAGGAAGATGAAGATGGCGATCGATGACTTTTCCTAGTAGGCTTTTTTATTTTTTTAACCAGCTGTGTTACAGGCACTGTTCGGAAAAAAAAGCATTTACGGTACATATTTGTGTATGTTACCGGTACGTATTAAATTAAAAGTTAAGAAAAATCTTTCTGTGTAATATCTCCTGTTATAACACGGACACCTGCAGCTTATAGACAAGTGCGGTCTGCACATGTACAGTTGTTTTTTTTCTTTTTGAAGTTAGTGGGTGTGGCTTATATTCAGGTGCGCTCATAGTCTGGAAATTACGGTACTTTTCCAAAATGGAACAGCAAGTGATACATTCACTGACCATCAAAAATGTGATGATTGTCTCTGTTTGTACAGTTTCTGGTTCTGATAAATGGTGTAAATGTGACAAACATGCCTTTCAACCCAATGTGCAGGTTTTGGGGTTCAGAGAGTTTTCCTGTTAAAGGTAACTCAAATCACTAGAATTTGTTCCTTGCTTTTACTCAACCCAGTTACAAAATACATCCAGAGACTTACACAGCACATAATTGCAAACACATTAATAAAACTTTCCATAACAAGAACAATCATCACAAGCAGAAACATTAGAGAGGTTTGTGAGGAATTTAGACATAGTGACGCAAAACCACATGTTAGTGACAGCCGCTGCAAAAAGTGATGGTTACTGATGGCGACTGCTACTTTATCTACCTACGATCATGTCTATCAGACTGTAATACAGAAGCTCTACACAACTACCTTAGAAACTACTTCTGCAATCTACAGCACAACCTACTTAACCTCACCTCGTGAAAAGTGACCGCATACTTATTATTGAGCCTGAGCTTCCTGTTACGAATCCTTTTCTAGGGAAATTATAAAAAAAAAAAAAGATGCACAGTGTTTTGACAAATTTGTGGTGGGGGGAAATGAGGTTTGACGTTCTACAAACGAAGCACATTGTTTTAAGTGCGTACTCCCAGCTGCAGCTCAGTCATTTCGAGAAGTGTTTCTACATAAACACACCCACACACAACTTTGTCACATGTTCCAGTCTGAGTCAAAATACTGGAAGAGAACAAAAAAAACAACAAGAGAAAAAATTCTATTCAAACAAGCAGAAAGAAAGGAAATCATTTGTGATGTTTCAGAATATCCCGCCATTGCATTAACTTAGAAAACCAGAAGACATAATTACATGGAAGTGTACAGTCATCCTCACATGTATTCATATCCTCCTATTAAAGAAGGAACAGCTGTCAATGAAATGAACTGAAACTGACAAAAGTAATAATAAATAAAAATTCAATAAAAATCATGACGTTGCTTTTGAATTGTGGTTCAACAGAAATATTAAAAAAAAACAAGCATGATGGGACCCGTAAACTAATATTTTGTTGAACAACCCTTTGAGCCAATCACTGCAATCAAGTGTTTTTGTAACTCTCAGATGTCTGCACCTTTTTTTTTTCTTTTTTTTTTTAAATTATTCTTTTCAACCACAATTCAAAAGCAATGTCTTATTTCACTAAATCATAATTTAGCAAATTTTTATTTATTATTACTTTTTTCAGTTTCAAGTTATTTGAGTGACTATTGTGAATTTTGCCTTTTCTTTAATGGGAGGGTGTGAATACATTGGAGGACGACTGTATACATATTCTACATGTCTAGTAGCTATAATCTACTTAACATCACCACTGCCACTAGATTAGCTCTGTTCGTGTTACGTCCGTATTTTTGCAGTCATATGCTAATAACTGATTTATTGTGCGTTGACAGAATGTGAATTAGGCCATCAACAAAACCTGTTAAACTGAGAATTAAAATAATTGGATCCATTAGAGTTTGTCTTAATGAATTTAACCGTGGGAAGCGGATTGATCGATGGGACCTCAGTGTTGTGTCTCCACAGATTAATAGTTTCAGATGCAGGGACTTTTAAAAGTTCTGGGGAGGAGAACAAGGCTCTTATGCAGTCTGTCAGCGCTCGCTCGCCTCGGGCTGAAGGTGCTGAGCTGCGGTGGGATTTGCCGAAAAGCGAACTGGAACCTTTTTGTGGGGTCGTGGCTAATTTACACCGGGTCACATGTTAATACCTGCCAGTGGCTACGAGTCTCGCTGCATTTATTTGAGAAACTGTAACTGACTATTCGGGGCCTTTGGCAGGTCGAGACAGGCGGCATTAAAGTTGGTATGTTAAGTGGCATTTTACTAGTTGAAGTGTTTCCTTCATATTTTAAGTTCAAGCCTCGTAAAAGCATTTTGTAATGTAATAAAACTAGTCAATATAACTGACCAGAACTAAATACAGTGAAGGCTACCCTCAAGAACTCTTTCTCACTGAGAAAACTTCTAAATCTATGTGTGGGAGGAAACACAAACATCAGTAGCATGATATATCCTCATGGCAGAGCAAATGAAATTACAGGCTGGGATGGAGCATTTTCACTTTAAAACATATTATCTCTGCTATATCCCGCGGTGTGTCTTTTTATCCTTCATTCTTAAACATATATGCCAGCGCACCGCCAAGTCTGCATATCTATTTAATCCCATATGGTAGACGTGACCTTCTAACCGATATCTGAGGGCCGATGATATCGAGTCATATTCTAACTGGGGAATGGATTCTCTTTATGAAGATTGATGAGGTGACAGCACATGGAAAAGTTGTGTAAAGAGCCCGCGCCATCTGCTAGCCTGCATATTATTCACCGAGTGCGAGCGGTTACTGTGAAACCATGTGGAAGAGTCAGAATATAATGTAATGCTTCGAGACATTGACCTGCTGAGCCGCACAAAGTGATGCATAGGGCCAGATGCCGTACCTTTGGTTGGAGATTGGGGTGCAGCAGGACGTATCCGTTGGGATCAATGGCAAAGTAATATCCATTTGGACCAATCTGACAAAAAAAAAAAAAAAAGAAAGATGAACAGAGGAGAAGGAAATTAATTGTTGTGTCCAGAAAACCCCATGATGCTAATACACATATGGCATAATGGCAACCCACTGGTAATGGCTGTTAGAAACATGTAAAGGGAGAGCCTCAGTGGCCCCCAAAACACAAACATGGAACAAAGATGTTGTAATTAATAACAAGGGCATTCTTTTTTTTTTTCCGTGTATGATTTTGCATAGACAACAGGAAGGAACGACCCGTCTAATGAAATCATATCACTCGCTAATTGCTCCGCGGGGGGAAACATCTGAGCGAGTTCTTGACAAATGAGTCACAGAAGCCACCAGACTCGTGCACGTGATCACACATGGGCGTTGAACTCACTGTGAAGCGTGGCGTGAGCTTCTTGATGTCATCAAGAGACACGTCAATCCCCATTACGCCAAGAATCAACTGATTCTGGTGCTGATGGGAAGGTATGAGAGAGAGGATGAGGAAAAAAAACACGTTCGTCGGGCCGACTCCACCCACCGTGCGGTCATGCATTTGTTTACTGCACCTCGCCATTCCTGTCGTCTACGGTCTTGGTTCTGTTGAAGACGGGTAGCGTTCCGGTGATGACCAGACCCAGTTCCTGATGGAGAGTCAAGCAACAATATTTCTAAGTGTGGTGGAACAGATTCATTGAACATTATGGCTGAATCTGTGCTGTGAGTGAAAAGACGTACCAGAGCATCGAGGTATACGTTTGTCCATTGGACTTGCTTGGCCTGCTTGTCTGCTAGAACCATGGGTCTACCCAAGACATCTAGGTACTCCTGAATTAGACACACAACATCATTTAAATTCCTTCCATGCAGACAAATCCCTTCTTTAAATGCATGATGAATGTGGAAACTATGCTCTCAAATCACCTGTGTGTTGATTCTGATGGCTCCGATGGAAGGAATCTCATAGAAGTAACCTGAACAAAGGATCCCACTCACACATGTTAGAAGTTGTAGATACCAAGCATGCATGTAACACATAGCGCTGCATCGTGGTTTTGTCCTTGTGTCAGGTGAGTTATTAGACAGAGAAAAGCACATGGAAGAAGTGCTGATCAGAGCTTCTGCTTGTGGTGAGATTCTTTACTGATCCTCCTCCCTCTCCCGCTGCACTCCTCCACGGGATGATCCGAGTGCAGTCATCCCTGTTCGAGTTGCTAATGTTTTAAACATCTGGCCAAGGATGTTTGAGAAGGGCAGATGACAAATAGGCCCGAAGGCTGCTCCTCCCAACAATAATGTCTTCTATCATTTCACAGTTTGCCCTCTTCAGACATCCTTACACTAAGTGCACTGTTTAATTCTGCCCTTGGATGTCCTAAACCGGCATTTGAGATGACAAACCCAATAAGGAGACCACCGTCTAGTATGGCAACAAACTGACAGCAGTGTTCAGTAGTGATGTGGGATGTGATCTGTACCTTTGTTGGAGCAGGCCATCCACTGAATGGGTCCTTTATCGTAGTTGTGTTGTCCTACTGAGAAGGTGAAGATCCTCACCTGGAGCATAAGATTTAAAAAATATACATTCATCATCATGAAAAAAAAAATCTGCCCTGCTCAAACACAAAAACACATTTTGTCTCTTCATTTAACAGATATTTTAGTTAACTGGTCCCTCATATGACATCATTACATGTTCTGTATCATCTCTAAAATGATCAGACAGTTCGTTTTCATGCATTAGATTATTCACAAACACCACATTCAAAGCAAAGTGTTCCAGGCAAAATGTGTCTTCAGTCTAAAAAAACAAAAGCTCTATCACATCATCTGACTTTGAAGTTTGTCATTATATTCTTTGATGCTTCTTCCCCTGTATACATCTTGTTTTGACAGCGATGTTGAAGTGTGTGTGTGTGTGTGCAACCCCGCCTAAATGCTCATCTGAGACCAGCTTGTGCGAGAGCGGGCTTTTGTTTAATAAAAAAATGCAAATACGTCATCTGCCATCCGCATAAATTTGTGGGTAAAGAGGAAGTGCGCACGGAAATTTCAGCCCAAAGGGAGTTCCAAAAGGTATCACACCCTCTAGTTTGTGTTTGTGTGTGCTTAAATTATTCATGTTGTGGGGACATAAATGTGGTTACATTTTGGGGACAAAGCTCCCCTCTGGGAACGAAATGCAAGTCCCCATGAAAGTAAATCATTAAATTTAAGATATGCTTAACTCTTACAGCACTAAGTAACTTTGGTTTGAAATTCATGATCAGATATGGTTTTGATTGATCACTAGTGGACTTCACATCATTACATGTCTGGTATCAATCAAAAGTAGACACGTTGACGTTTAATATAGTATACATGGAAGTTTACTCTTGGCATATACATACAGGTGAAATACAGGTGTGAAAAATAAAAGGTAAAGGTAACTACCAGGGATATGCAGTTAAGTACACTGGTCTACACCCATTTTGGTGTCAAAGTTTTCTGAGCTGATTTTGGACAACTGCAATGTGCTGAATCCACACATTCCATTGGTTTTGCTCAATGAGGTCAAAATTTTGATTTGATGAAACATCCAATTTACCTGTATTTACCTTTACAAATGTTTACGCTCATCAACTTTTGGATCATTTAGCTTATGAAATTGATTATCAAATGAAATTTTTCCTCTAAAATCCGATTTCATATAAGAAATACTAAAATAAATCAATCGCTAATGTCAAAAAATGTCATTGATTTAGTGACAAAATTATTATTTTATAATTGAGTTGGCAAAAAACCTGACCTGATACAGAAAAGCAGATGTCATGTTTGGATTAAGCGTTGCAAAAATGTCCTAAATCAGTTAAAAAATCGTAGACACCTTCATTATTTTGTGACCCAGTGTTATCAGTTCTTATATACTGAGACATCAGACAAAGTCTTGTAATTCGTTAGTTTTGATGGTTTGAGGCAGCGAAAATCCCGTTTTCTGGTGATTTTTGGGGTCAAACGACGTCATTTTACTTCATTTGCATAATTAATGTCATGACTGAATCGCTTGTTCACATACGGGGATTCCCACTGATACACAATCACAACTAATGTAACAGAAAGTCGCCATAAAACTGGAGCCCAATATAGTGGTCGTGTTGAAAGGGTTAAGAATAGGTGTAAGGTTAGAGCAAGGGTTAGGAATAGGCAAGTAGTAGTTACAGTTATGGTTGGATGCCAGGAAATCAGTGTAAATCATGTACTCTGAAAAGACTTTGTGTGTCTTTTGTATACCTTTTTGTCCGCATTGTATTTCTCCAGTATGGCCTGAGCTCTTTCTTCTCCTCCGTCAGTAAACAGCATGATGATCTTGTTGCAGTTCGCTCTGCTCACATTAGTCTAGTCGAAGGGAGAGAAAAAAGAAAAGGTTGTCTTATGACTACTGTGTAATTTATTGTAGCCATTTAAGTGGCCTAAGAACACCTTCAGTCTATTGGACCATCTAAAATTTGGGCCTCGGGAAAGATATTTGTTACTATAATCTTTGGCGTACTTGCTGTTTAGATTGTATCATCTAGCAACATCATCATCACCTTCAGCTGCGGATTAATGAAATAAAATAAAATAAAATAATAGTTCAGTATCCGTAGTCAGTTCCTGTGACATATGTGCATAAGCATGATGCCCAGAAGTTCACAAATTCTATGCATTTTGGTGCACAGTTGATCAAACCTACTGCCTTTCATCCTGTGTTGCTTCATTTTTTTTTTCATTCAACACAACAACAAACAAACTTTTACGTCTGTAGCTTCTTGCAGCTGCTCTTATCAAATCATATCTAACCCACTGCATCACTAATCCTCCATGTCCAGAGCTGACCACATCATTCATTATTAACCTGTAATAATCTGTGTTCATACAGTCTAAGTAGTGCGTTTGACCAGCAGGTGGCGATAAAACACAACAGTCGACTGCTGCTGAAACATGGAGGCATCCACAGTCTGCATTCATTCAAAACTTGTTTTGCACCTTGTTTTCTCAATCACGCTCGAATCAGACAAAATGGCACGTTTTTTTTTTCTTCTCTCACCACGGAGAGCTGCTCAAAAGCAAACTCGAAGCCTTTTGTGTAGTTTGTGATTCCTTTAGCCGTGATGTTCTGCACGCCATCCTTCAGCAGCTTTTTGTTCCTCACGTTGGCTTGAACCAAATGGTCGAAGCACGCCGTCTTCTTCACCCGGGTGTTGAACTGGGAGGGAGAGGAGGCGAGGAGTTAGGACCTGCAAATTATTCACGCAACTACAACACGCGTGCATATGTAACAATTATACAAATGCGGCACACACACACACACACGACACACAAACACTCCCACCTGGCCTTGGCTGTTATCAGGAGTGGTAAACAGACACATTCATCAAGCCCCACTAATTGCTTCACATCCTCGGTGCTCAAAGATTTGGTACCCATGGAAACAAGATTCTGCTATATAAAAACGAGGTTAGGCAGCAACACCATCTTTTTTTTTTTTTAAAGGTGAGACCTCCTCATTTCCACCCCGCAGCACACATATGCACAAATACTCCACCCAGCATTAGCATAAGTCAGGTTTCTATACCGAGTTAAACTAACGATCCGTCTTTTCGTAGGTAAACATCCGAACGGGAGCCACTAGAGTTAGCAGAAAGGGCATTTTCAAAGTGTTCCCGATGACAATAAGTACGAATGACAGACTAAATTGCACAATGGGAAAGAATATTTAATAATAGTGCGTGAAGGACGTGGGACAGCGGAGCGGCGAAACGGCACGTCCATTGTGTTGCAGAACTCTTCTAAAACAATACTGCACCTCATCGATCTTGACTAATCAATGTGTCTCTGTGAGATGGCCAATAGGGACGCTGAAAAACACTGATCTACACAGACAAGCAGGGAGGCAACAAAAAAAAAAAGAGCCCTGACCGCATGTGTGCGTGGGTATGTGTGTGTTCCCAAGGAGCATAGCAGCCTTGAAGTTCCTTTCAGAATGACAATAACCAGACATACACATCTCTATTGAACTGAGAGGCAATATCGCATTGGCTGTTCGGTTTGACAAAAAAAAAAGAAAAGAGACTGAATCAAGGTGAGCGCACACAGACACATGCGAGGCACACACACACACAAACACAATGGAAGTTCACATAATTGCCCGCAAAGAGCAGACAGGGATCTTTTATCACATAATCTATTAAAAGGAGAAGTGAGGAAGGTGGGGAGGGTGAGGAGCAGAAAGTGAGAGGAAAGAGGACACAAAAAGAGAAAAGGGGGGTGGGAGGAAGGTGTGAATACAGGATTGCATCTCGTATAGAAAATAACGAGCTCACGTAGCATATGTGACACATCAATCACACGGTATTTTGACGTGTATTGTTTTCGTAGATAAACCAATTACGCAAAAAAAACCTGAAGGAAATGCATATTGTGTAATTACGGAGAAAAACATCGGGATATTGGTTTTGCGCCACAAACGTGTTTGCTGCAAATTCCACTGTTCTCTCTTGTGATCCTATTACAACGGCTCTTACATTTGTGTGTGATGGTCCAGGCCTTGGGAATGGATTAGTGATGACACAAGAGAGAAGGCTAATCTTCAAGCTCTAATCCCACCGGACTCTCTGCTATTCTGGTTTAGTACTCTCTGGCATGCCCGCTGCACTGACACCGGCTAACAGCGCTGACACCGGCTAACATGGCTGAGCAGGCTGGATAAAAATGACAGAGGCTCAGCGAGGTGATAGGTTCGGAGGGTTGGGGGGGAGGGGAGGGAGGTAGAAGCGAGAACATAAGTGTGAAAAAAAAAAACTGAAAAGATGAGGACAGACAAGGAAAAGAAAAGACAGAAAGGCAGCCATCAGCAAGTCCTCTGACCTGCCCAGCTGTTAAGGAAGAGTGTGAGCATCTTCCGTGACCAAATGCCAACTTAGTCCCTGGGCTACTGTTAATGAGGAGCGATTTATGGGTGATATCAGAGACTAATGATTTAGTGACAGGTAACAACACCCTCAGGGGCAGACATAGGGCACTGTGTGTGTGTGTCTGTATGAATGAGTGTGCCAATGACTGAAAGAAATAGATGTAGAGGGAGGGCGACGGGGAGAAAGAATGAGTTTTGCTGGAGTGAGGACAAACTGATTTCCGATTTGCTAACTGATCGAGCGACAGGGAGATTACAGTTCTAATTCCAGCGTATAATACTTCATTATTATTGTCTTGTTTTCGCAATTTTGAGCGTCCTTCCTATTGGTAATAATACAAATCGGGCTCAGGAAATGACATTGCTCCGATCTGAAAATGTGCAACGATCGAGTTAGTAAATGTTGAAATTATGATCCAGATTGTTCAGTTTGAACGTGGACCTGCTGCATTTCCAGAGGATTTTCAGCAGTATTCTAGATGCTTATTTCCACATACAGTCGAGGTTTTTTTTGCAGCTATATTGTTGACTTGGTTTCAAGCTGACTGTAGCAGTAACACTGTGTTCCCAGATCTCTGAAATTACACAGCCGGAGCCGTAATAAACTTAAATGATCTTTTTAACACCCTAATGCATCCGTGGTGCGTCTGCAACGTCCTTTCTGCCCTGCTCTGTTTTGAAGGAAAATTTCAAAAAGTTCGAAGTCGAAGCCGAATTGGATTTCACTCTTTGAACTGCTCCCGCTCTCGTTCCGTCTGGCTTTCTCAGACGCGCACATGCACGCACGCCGAGCTCCACAACAGACTCCAATAATTGCACATCTTTGCAGAATCACAAGTCCACCATGAAACAGAATACATTGTGTCCAAGACAAAGGGTCCCCGGGGAGAGGAAACAGAGCCTGAATGGCTGTCTTTGGGGCGGGGAAGAGAACGAAGCCAGCTCCAACCTCTATAAAGACCCATCTCAATAAACACCTCCACAGGCACCCATCTACGCATCGCACAGCCCTCCTGATTGGCTCTCTCTGAGCGTAATCACTAACGTTGAAGGCCTAGAAATAGATGGCCGGAGAATGAAATGGTGTAGAGGGAGAACGAAGGAAGTGATTGGTGGGCGAGAAGAGTGAAAATGAAGGGGAAAGAAAGTGGGGGGACGGCGAAGAGAGGAAAAGTTGTGGAATTGTGTATAGAAGGGTGGAAGCGTACGGGGAGATCATTCATTGACACAAAGAGATGAATGGATGTTATACGGTGAAATGCTTAGAGGAATTGCATGACCCAATGATGAAAGGGAACGAGTGATGGAGAGACCGAGAGGGTGATGAATGAGTGTTTCCTGGGGTTCACTTCAGTCAGAGGTGCAGTTTTAATTCCGTCAGGAGCAGTGGGAATGGACATACACAGGCGCCACCGCAGCTGTGGGTCTGAAGGTATGGTGGGGGCATGTAGTGCAGAGTTTTAATCCTGTACACCAAATAGAGCAGTGGGTATTTCATTAAAGGTCTGTTTCAGGGTGGCCAGACCTGAGAGAAATCCATATTTCATTACTTGTCATCCATCTCTCTGCCCGTCCTGTATGTGTATGTGTGTGTGTAGGCATCTGTTGTGTATTGTAGACAAGTGAGAATGTATCAGAATGCATCTGAATGGGTGCGTCAATGCAAAAAGCCCATTCGCACATCACGAATCCATCTTTCACTCTCCGTCCCTTTTCTCAGCATGCATCCCGGCGGCCACGCGCCCAAGAATTCGGCAAGAAGAAGCTTTAATAACTCACATAAACCACGTTGACGTAGTCGTCGTCCGACAGAGTCTCCAGCATCTCGCTGACAGAGGTCCTGATCAGTTTGAGAGTCAAGCCAGACACACTGCCACTCCTAAAAGACAAAAAAAGAGAAATAAAATAACCTGACAGCTTTTCATTTCAATCTGTCTGCTCAGTTCCCGTCCTGCGAGATTCTACTCAGTGTAATTAGAACTGCTTCTGCTTTGGGAAATACGTTGCATTATGTGGCGAATCTAGAAAGGCATGCATTCTAATCAGGGGAAATCATGACTGATGTGAGAAGGTTATGGATCAGTGAGATTATGAAGCAACTCACGCGTCCACGAGGATTAGCATATCTTTGGGCGAGGCGGCTCCTTGAATGTACCTAGATGGACGTTAATAAATTAAAACACATTTCCGCGAGGAAACCCACACACACTTTGAAAAGCATTGAATGTTGAAGGGCAGCGATTTACATAATAATTAACTTTGGGATAACACAATATTACTTTACACTTTGAGACATATTTTATTAATATTTGGCTGGGCAATGTGGATGGAATTAGCATTACATTCTTAATAACAATACTTTTGTGGACGATTCGAATAGTTTACTACTGTAAAAGTTAAGATAGGCATTCAATGCAATGAACTGTGTACGTTTGTCTAACAAAATGTCTCATTTCAAGGTCTGCCAACTAATTACTTAAGACCTTTACAACAGATTTTCCAATTATCACGGTTTGCTTTGGGGAATTAATTACACAAGATACAACATAAATATATGTAGACATGTTTCCATTCCGCTGAGAGTCTACAGACATTATTTGATTGAACTACAAACATATCAATTAAAAGCAATGATGCCACATTCTTGTCATAAACGCCTGCATCTAAACAATCACATAGGCAGCTCCCAAAGATATAAATAAAAACAGAAAATGACTGTTTTTTTTTTTTTTTTAGTTTGCATTCTGACCACCACTGAATGATGCTTTTAATATCTGTGCCAGTTTTCTTACCACGGCCTCCTGCGGACATCATAGAGATCGATTTTACTGGGGGTCTTACGAGCATCCATCCAGGGAGAGGCTAAAGGAGGAGATTAGATATGTGTTATAAGTGTGCAGTAATTTTATCTTTTTTTTTATCATAGTCCAAGGGAATAAACACAAATTCCTATTTTGGTTTCATTTCTGACACATCTGACTGTCAGACTGAGGTGCCGATCTGCCAAAATCCTGCAATATGCAGTGTCACATTCCACTCGGCGGTGCGGAGTCACTGTCAGTCATTGCGTAGACAAGAAAAGCCACATTTTGTCTCATAATGACAGTTGGCTTGTTGGATAGAATCCTAAATGCATCACACCATCAACATTTTTTTTTTTTTTTTAATGCTCACTAACAATATCCACAAAGAGATAAACAGGAGAGATAAAATATTAATCAGAGATGCAAAGCACACAGCACTGGATTCACTTGCTTAGACACTAATCAGTTGCTCTCTACCTGTATGCTATTAGAGTGGGGGAACATGAAAACAAGCCAGTAGCAAGAGCGTGTGTGTGTGTGTGTGTGTGTGACCACCTGTCATGCATGCTAAGAGGTTCGAAAAAGAAACAGAGGAATAAATCCAGGGCCAATGCAAATTTATGAATATTAGACTTTTTTATTAAACTTTTTCCATAAAGCTATATAGAGTCGATGATGACAGGGAATCTCATGAATACAAATAGCTTGGCGGAGAAAACACTCACACGACAGAGAGCAGCACTGGACTACCGCGGTTAAATACAGAAAGAAAGCATCTCTGTCGCCGCACATAAAATCCAGACCAGACTGAGCTTATTTAACAAGTGAGTAAATGCAAGTATCGTCGGTCAAGCGAATGATAATTGTGCAACATACACGGCTTGAGTGTGAAGATACCAACAACTTATGGAAGCAAAGAGATGCTTTGTTAGATTGATTTCTTTTTTTTTTACCTGGGTAGTAGCGGGCCAAGCCTGTAGCGCTACCAAACACCTGCCAGAGAAGGGTCGGGTCATCCTCCCTGTTCCGTCTGAACACATCCTCCAATGCCTCCGTCCAGCTCAGCTCATTCAGCACAATGGTGGCTGGAAATCAGACACATAGATAAAGGAAAAAATATACTAGAATTGTGTCCTTCAAGTGGGTACATTATCCATCACGCCGTAACTGTACACTTAAAGTCCTTATGCCATTTCTGTATATGTGAAAAGAGCACATAGTCTTTATTATATCTTTCTTTTCTTGTCTTGCTTCTTCGATGCCTCATTTGTATGTCGCTGCCGTAACATGTAAGGCTCAATAAAGTTTATCTTATCTCTTACCTTAAATTGCGCCTATGTCTGGGACACATTAGCATGAATATTATACAGCATATCACTGTTATCAGATTTGAATCCAACAACTCTGTTAAAGCGTTCATTTCTTTGCATTCCGCAATAACGTCTAGAAGAGAAAGCATCGCCCTGTAAGACCGCCATTAAAGATTAGTCAAAGACGTGTGGGCATCCCAGATTTACCTACACATCATTAAGATTCACGCACAGGCCCTCTTTTGTGTCAGCCCACTTCCCCCCAGCAGGATACCTGAGCAAATATTGGGCCGGAACACGCAGATACTTCTTGGAGCTGCGAACACTGAGGGGTGGTGTTGAGGCAAGCGATGGCTTCAAAATTAAACTGTTTAATTTTTAGCAGAAACGCGCGACAACCCGCGTGCGTGCGCGTGTCGTACGTGTTTGTATGTGTGCATGCGTGTGATTGATAGTGTGTGCTGTGAGAGGCAACAGGCATTATGGATGTAATGACACAGCAGCCAGACAGCTCAGAGCCACATAACACTCACTATGATGGATGGAGACACAACACATGCTGCTCCAACTCTGTCTTTCCTCTGTCTATCTCTCTCTCGTGTTCCTCTTCTTTTTTTTTTTTAACCATCTTCCATTTTGCCTTTTCCTTGATACTAATGTGTATATATATGCTTATATATGACTCTGGGGTGGATGTGTAAGCGTGCAGGACACATTGGTATCCTGTATCGAGTGTGACGTGGCTCATTGATGTGCAAAGCAAACACTGTTCATTTGCATGCATGCCTCTGGAGGGGAGAGTTAATGAAGCCTTGGTTGCCAGGAGTGCATGTTTTTTTATTATAGGGAGAGAGAGAGAGAGAGAGAGAGAGAGAGAGAGAGAGAGGGAGAAAGAATGCATGCAGCGGTTGTGCACACAGTAATGTATTTCTCTCATTAAGTGTAGAATTTTAAAAGAAAAGGGAGAGAAAATAACACCGCAGTCCTTGTGTTGGGTAATGAGAAATTTGCAAACTATGTGTCTTTTGATTTTTTGACTGAGGACTGATGAAGACAGATGGGTAGGAGGACGTATCTAAACAACAAGCCCACTCGTTTAACTATTTGAGACGGCCAAAACAGTTAGGATATACACATAGTACGGAGTGGCGGACCAAAATACAGCTCTACGCAAACAAACTTGTAATATGTTGCTTTTTAATGTCTCAATTGGTTTTGAGTGCTCCTGAGTTAGTCGTAATATTTAATAAGTTAAACTCCAGCGCTGCTTCATAAGGGATACGGGATCCTCCAGTTGTCCATATTGCCACTGACACTAATGAATTCCCTGGCTGCACTCGATATGGCTTTGATGCCACACTGAATCTACCCCAAGTGATGACTTCATCTCAGTGGGATATCACGGGTGCAATATAATCTACAAAGGAACATGGATTAACGCAGATTTCTTAAAGACTTATACACTAAAACAACAATCATATGTGACTTTCTTTTAGAAGCTAATGAAGAAGAAAACTACCTCTACAGATGCATTGAAGGAGACTGGGAATGACAAAAGAAAGGCTCAGTTACCGAACATCACGGTTCAAAGCACACATAATGAATTATAATTATTAGTCTGACATTTGGGGAAACAGACTGATTCACATTCTTGCTGAGAGTTAGATAAGAAAACCCCTTCCACTCTTGTAAAAATGTGGTTGAAGCCAGCAGCAGGTTTATTTAGCTAAAAAAAAAAAGGGGGTCAAATAACTATCCTGTAAGTGTCCAAATGTAGTCTTGCATATCCAGAGCATCCTGCAGCACATTATGTTCTTGCTATGCCTCATTTGCAGTCTGCTATAGAGAAGGGGGGAAAAAACACACTGTTTGTATTTCTTTAAAGCGATCATGATAGAACTGTTTTGGTGCACAGAGGGACGCCAGCTCTGTCATTAAAATGGCTAATTCGCCAAAAACATAACTAGCAGGGCTGCCTTACTGCAGGAAAACTTTTCAGCGTGGCCCAAAGAGGAGGATGTGAAAGCCGACGGTAACCTTAACCCGCAGTCTACATCCGGTGAGTCAGACTAATTTGACAACATCTGTCAAGCAGCATCTCTTAATCTCAAAATGCATGTTAGATTTTGTTTGTTTGCGATAAGAAACGAGAGACCAGCAGAGCCTCGACAGTGGAAATGTTGCTGGCAAGTCAGCAGTGGCAGAAAAAAAAAACACATAAGGAGCTCGTGTGTGTTGACAAACCTGGTGGCTGAATTATGCGTAGCACTCACAAGCGCTGCCGCCTTTCCGAGGCTGGCAGAGCGTGTTTTCAACACGTTTTACACTGACAGTGAAAGCAGCAGCGAGGTTTTGGTTAATCGCTGTTAGCTGTGGCCCCTATGACAGATGAAGGCAGTCTGTGTGAATGTGGAAATGTTTCAGTTAAAAAAAAAAAAAAAAGCACTTGTGTGAAAAACAAACAAATAAAAAGATAAATATAGAGCTGCTGATTGACTTCAATAAGCTCATAGAACCTGCATTCATGTACGGGATTGAGCCATAGACAAGACGTATGGGGGTATTTCACCTACCCTGCCATCTGTATATTGACTAATCAATCAGTGTAGGATTACATTTAAGAGCTTGAATGGACTAGACTGAGCTTGTCCGTCACTCTCATGTTGTTTGCTTGCATTATTAGATTTCTTAGTAGTTCCTCGATCTAGAT